ATTAATGTTGAGGACAAATTGTTTGGGAGAAAAAATCAATTGAATTTCCAAATTTCGAATACGACTTCAACAGCTTGTTTATACAAGGATATAAAAAAATGAACATATTTCAAACCCAGAAAGAAAAATTAAAGAAATACACGCTAGAATTAATTCCAATATTAATGCCTAAAAACTCCTCATCGTTGACCAAAAAAAAAGAAACTCCTCATCAGAGTCGGAGTCTCTTCTAATTTTGGGAAATCTCCTGTTTGGGCTTCATGATCGTCAATATCCTGGGCTTCTTCGCCGGGTGAGGGCTCTCCACCTCGTCTTCGCCGGAAAAGAAGAAATCGCGAGAGAACTCGGGCAGCGCGGGCATGTTCAGGTCGAAGGTCTCGCGGTGGCCGTGGCTCACCGCATGGTGGGAAGTGGACCACGGCGCGGTCGCTGTGGAGGCCCCTACGCCGCCTTCGTAGTGGCAGCGCTTGTGCCCGCCCAAGGCCTGGCCGGTGGGAAAGGACTTGTGGCAGATGGAGCACTCGTGGGTCCTGCCGGAAGCGGTTACAGTGGTGGTGCCCGAAGTGGTGGTGTTTGATGACGTGGAAGGGCCTTCGGCGGCCGATCCAGCGGCTCCTTTTCTGTGGCTGGCCTTGTGCCCTCCGAGGGCTTGGTAAGAAGGGAAGGCCTTGTTGCAAACAGAGCACTTGTAGCTCAGCTTCGCGGGCTGTGCTGAAGCGGACGGCTCCTGATGTGAGGAGTTAGAAGGGGACTGGGTGATCATGTGGTGTGAGGCGGCGGAGTTTGTTGCCGTAGTGGCGGTTGCGGTGGTGGCGGCAGAGGTGCTTCCAGAACCGCCGCGAGCGAGCATGATGAGGCAGATAGCGAGGTACTCCTCCTCGGCGGAAGGGCCGTCTAGGCGTGGACGCTTGGAACGCTTGCGTTTGGTCCAGGGCTCGACATAGTTGATTTTACTGGCGGCCTCTTCGAAGCGGAAAGGAGAGGCCCCTGCGGCTGTTGGAGAGTTGAGAGCTTGGAGAGCCATGGGATGAGCAATTGAGTGTTTGCTTGTGGTGTTGGCTAACTGGAGGAGGTTCAAAATATTTGAGAAGCTTGAAAGAGAGTTTGTTTTGGTTTGG